AAAAAGTAATAAATATAGGAGCAAAACCAGAATCTCAGCATTTCGAGGGTCTGGGGTTCATCCGGTCCAATCCCCTATCAGAGACAAAAAAGAAAAACTCCTCATGCCACTGCTGGCTTGATGTTTGCTTGCACTCCCCTGACGACGGGGAACTCATTACCTTACAAAACTATACATTGCCCCTCAACAACGTTATGATTTGTGAATAAATTAAAAAACAAGAATGATTGCTTAAAGTTGTTGTACCGTCTTTTTATTAAAAAGAGAGCGAAGCCAGTCGGGTAACAGAAGTTGTGCCCATGCTTTTTGTTTAGTTTTTAGTCTAAAGACTCCTCAGAACTGTGCAGTGGAGGGGGGAGACACTTGGAATGGCCTGAGTGATGGGGCCCCATTGGCGATGACCCTGGGGCACTCCTGGGACGAGGCAGCTAGGGCTCCAGAGCTTTGTGGTGAGACCCCAGCTCTCTCTCACTCAGCGTGTCTGTGCAAATCCCGGGAGTGGCCACTCTCCTGCCTTGGAGGCCCAGCTTCTGCTTGGGAAGGCAACGTGAACGTAAAACGCCTAACCAGTCTCCTTTGGCAACAGACGGTTCTCGCTAGTCTCTGAGCTTCTTTCACTGGGAGAATCATCTTTTTCAAGCCAGGATAGTTTGGACATAGATCAACCGGGCTCACAGGGAGCACTCCCCTGCCCGGCTGCCCTGGACGTCAACCCCCGCAAAACACTACCCCAGACAGATACCTCTCTGGTCAGCTTGGGCAAAGCCTGTCCTTCTCCACCCCCCGCCCATCTGTCCTGAGATGTTGTCCATGACCTTTGCTTTGGAGGGGGCAGGAGTAAAAACAACAAAACACAAAAGAGGAGAGCCCTCCCCACGGGCCCAGCGTCTCTGTCCCTTTCATGGGATTCGCATTCTGTGGGGTTCTCAACAATTCTTCAACATACTCAGAGGACATCGGTGGTTCTGTGCCCACACAGGAGATATTCCAAGTGTCTTCGTTGTTTAAAAAAAAAAATCGTACCTCTGGCTACAAAGACAGCATGTGTACCCCCTGCTCGACGGAGGCCAAGGCCAGGAGTACCTGAGTGATGGGGAGGTTGCCCAGGGCAGTGGGGCTGGACTTAGAAACAGGCTTAGAAAAACTAGTCATTCTACCTTGGACATCCAATGTTTTACAATAAAGCAGTTTTTTTTTTTATTTCATGTAACTTTCAAGAATTGGAACACACAAAAAATGCAAGGGGAATGTTCACAATGCTGATAACCACAGTTGTAAATAGAAACATTCATTTCTCATAAGATTATAAATATTTGATATTGGAACTGTAAAATGCACGTTTTAGAAACGAAAAAAAAAGAAATAAAAAAATAAAAACCCCAAAACTTTGCTTCCTGCTAAAAAGGCATTATCATTTCATTGAAGTTTCCTAAGCAGCAGTTGGTTATTTCACAGAATTTTAAATTACAGCTTTTCTTTTTATAGTTTCCTTTTTAAAAAGGTTTGCACGAGTATGTACAAAATAAAAGTGGTATCGCAGGGAAATAGAGGTTTAAGGCAAAGAGAGAAGTTCACCCTCAGTCCTCAGGGGTCCAGCCGTGGGCCTGCCTCAGCCACGGGCACACCCCCGGGGCCGTCCCGGCTGCACATGGACATTTGGACACGATTCTTTTTCCATACACCAAACAGAAGACAGTGCAGAGTTATATATATAGATACTGTGTTTGTTTATATATATGTACTTGGTGGGGATATATTGAATATATTTAATTTACACTGTACCACACCGTCAAAAAATAAAATGTATATTAAAAAAAAAAAACAAGAAAAGACAAAAAGCGATAAGAAATGATTATTTACACATTTTTCTTCCTTCCTCTAGATCCTGGAGGATTCTGAGTTCCTTTGAAAGTCAAGCTAGCCACGTGTTCGGAAACTGGACTCTCACAGGCCCGCTTGTGCACGTGTAC